AGCAAAAGAAAGATCAACGCTACCTTTTCCTTACAGGGCATGATAATGTCATCTCGAGAAGAAGCTACGGGCATGCAAAAAGGGCGTCTACGGTCCTAGGTACCAAAGCAGTGTGTATTCGGCTATATAACCTATATATTTTAAAATAGATGCTCTATATATATATACATATAGATATATGTTATATATGATATGATATATAGGTTATATGATAATTACATATAATGTTATGGTTAAGTTATAACTAAATATATATATATAATTTGTTGGTCAAACAATTAAGATAATTATGGTCCTCATAGTGCTTTGAACGGGAGTTTTGGAGAAACCTGTCACAGTAAGCCGGGCGGCATAGTACCTTCCCTGGAATACGCAGTTTCTTAATCTTCTGAGGGACGCCTAAAAACAAAAAGCACAGAACCCAAAATGTCAGTGACCCTTCTTTTGAAACACCTGGCCGTTTCTTGGTCCTGCCACAAAGGCAGTCAACATCACGGGTGTCAGAACTGCGAGTCTGTCAAAAGAGCTTCCAGTTCAAGATTTAACCATGACGCCACTTAGGACAAGCAAGACCACCAATGTTGAGCGTTCTCTCATGCTAGCTATTTCATTGTTGGTCGCATGGACTGGCTCCATGTTGGGAATTGGGAAGGATATGGAAGGATGGATATCAACTTGGCCTCTGCTCAGCAAATCAGCTTGTGTCATCCTGACGCTGTTGAAAGCAGATTCAGTACATGTCTCAAGGAGTGTTTCACTAAGTACCACCTGATATCGGACCAGTCACGTCTCTACTTGGTCGAACGGAGCGTATGGAGTCGGAAGAACTTGTGTTCTGATCTGGCTCCTGCATTTCGTGCACTTCTAGGAGCAAGGACGCTACGTTCAGGGCTCCTGGCATCGCTACTAGGAGCAAAGACGCAGTGTAGTAATGAGACGCTATATTTGGCGTCTCGCTAGGCTCCAATCAAAAATAAGTTGCAAGGAACCCCAAAGATAGCTTTCTGATTTGGTGACTCTGCCCCATCCTGCACCCCTCCAGATAGGTAAAGGAAGCAGTCAGTTGCATACTCTATGGACAACAACAACAACAACAGGCAAAGTACCTTACAGTTTGCAATATGCACTCCTTTGGTACAAGGGGCACCCCTCCAGATTGACATAGAATATTTAGAACTCTCAACAACACGGATCATGGTTTCAGGAAAGTGACCGAAAGTGAAGGTCCAACCCAACATTTGTATGGATCATGTTCAGGTCGCGTTCACCGTTTCACCCTTTACTCTGAAGCCGCATGGCCTTTTTCAGTGCGGTCAGTCCGTCCACCGGTCGATGTTCACCATCTTCGGTCCACCGGCGCACCTCCCGAGGCCACGGCAACGGCATGAAACGGCACCCATGGAGCCACTCCACCGGAGCGTGCAGACCGTGGGTCGCTGTGAGGCCGTGAAAGGCACGGCTGAGAAGGGACTGAGGTGGCACAAAAGAAACATGAAGGTCTCTCTGTTCTGTGAAGTTTGTTGAAGTTGATTTAGCAGGACTTGATAGTTGTGGGTGGTGTGAATCAAAGGAGCTGGTGGGAGAGATGTTGTTTTATCCTGTCTTTTTTGTAGCTTGGTCGGTGGTGTTTTGACGGCTTGATGATATAATGTGTAATAGTGTAATTAAGCTTTCATGTGATGGCTTGGGTGGGACATGAGTCAGCCTTTCTCCGCATCCTAGAGTCCTAGGACTCCTGAGTTTGCACGGCTTGTGGAGCTCAAGGGCGTTAGTCGATCAGTCGAGCCAGGCACAATAAGCATACCTTGGGAACCCATATCGTTGCGATTTAAAACCAATCCCCTCAAAACAGGTGAACAGCTTATGGGTAGGAAACTCGATGGTGAACAGCGAGAGGGTCCTGAGGGTCTCTTGGGGTGAATGTTGAGCGTAATGGGATGAAATGGGCAACACGAGCTGCTCAGTGAGCGTACGTGTTAAATTGATACATCTTGTTGTTGCTTTTGCCAATACGTTCGGGACATCCTTTCAGGACAGGCTAGGACATCCAGCTTTCTGAGTTGAGGAGCAATGCAAAAACCTGCAAAAAGGAGACCAGTAGCCACTGCAACTGGACAACGTCCATGGTCGGACCGTGGCTATGACATGCTATGACGCATCCCTCATGCCTCGGGGATGGGCGGACGCGGGTGTGGACCGTTCACAACCAAACGGGCGCAAGCTTTTCGTCATCAGCACACATCCACAACCGCCGCAGAGCCCAGACCACGGGGAAGCTCCATCAACTCGTCTTCCTGCGAAAGGCAAGCCGTGTGGTCGGTCAGGGGGACGCTCAGGGAACCATTGGGGTCCAGCCCCAAAATACCAAAGATCCAATCAAACATTGACATGTGATTTAATGATCGTCATTCATCCAAAATCGAAGCCAACAAGCATCCAAAGACCCACTTCCACGCTGATGCCAAGCGCTGATATTGGAGATGTGTAGCATACGCATTCCTCATGTGTAGCATACGTTGATGACCAAACCCCTCGTTGCCCGGACATCCTCGCCTCTTCTTCTTGGATGACCGCATCTTCGCGCCAACGGCCTCAGGTCTCGTCATCAGGTCATCCGGGATGACCGTCCGGATCGGTGTTCTTCTCTACGCCGTACGGTCATCCCAGCCAAGGCCTGTTTGCAATTGAGCAGGTCACTAAGTATCACTGCAGAGAAATCAAAAAAGGCAATAGCTGATAGCTGTAGAAGTACCTGGAATCTGCAAAGTTGCTTGAAAAATGGAGCATGACTCATGACCCCATAAGAAAAACACATAATATGTTGCTTGGTACTGAGAGGGTGCAGGCATCTACTTAACATGAGAAACTACAAACACCTCCTCTTGCAGGTGAAGGACTTCCCCCTGTAGATAGACAAGGCTATGAAGGCCGCCAGGCAAAGATGGCAGACTGGTCCCTTGAAAGGCGATAGAGAGACCTCACAACCGTTCCCCGAAATAGGGACATCAATGAGCTTTGCCCAGCGTTTCTTCCAGGTCTCCCGAGACAAAAAGTCACACCCATGTGGCGGATTATGGCAGTCAATCCATGTGAAACTGGAGTTCCGCCCATATGGCACTCCTCAAATCAAAGATCCTCAAGGTCACTTCGCAAGTATCTGTACAATCGAGCAAGGGTCAAATACAGGGGGGGTTCAGAAACATCTATCATTGTCTAAAAACTAGGAGCTATATATTATTGAGTGGCTTCAGTGAAATCGAATGAAGATTCAGAGTACCTTTGAACATAACCTCGATATAGTTAGCATGAGTACAGCGTCTTCGTTGTCATGTCATGTCTCATGTTCGCATTTTCACACTCTAGGCTTAATATGGTTTAATATGGTTTGATGGTACCTTGATGACCAATACTTTAACTCCAAAGCACCCCTGACGCATCCGCAGCAGTTTTTCGGCCAGGTCCCGGACGGTGAAAGTCTTCCAGCACACCGAAACGCACGTGCGGAGCCTCCTGCACGTGCGCTGGAGGTCTGACTGCAGGTGAAAGATCTGCATCATCCGGTTTTTGTTGGACCCCAAATAGATAGAAAAGTAGATTCTTTTAGACGGATTTTATGTCCCTACAAGCCTACAACAAGAATCTCTTGAAAATGGGTGCCACTCTCTGTTTGGGGACCCCGCTATACGTTGTGATTCTTTCTCTTTTCGTCAGCCACTTCTAGCATGGACGTCCAGATGTTGAGGGAAAACCGATGAGGTACATCGTCATGTAAACAGGGGTATGCGATATCAGGTCGTGCCAGTAGACGCCTAACACCTCCAAACAGTGGAGCTTCCTTGTTATCAGCATCCCGTTTCACTGAGTCAGGCCTCTCATCCCGCACTGTTTCGCAGAAAAATGTTTGAGAAGCGACTGGGTCAACAACCCTTAAGACCTCTTCAATACCAACAAATGGTCTCCCAACATATCCTCACATTCTACCTTGTGCAAAAGCAAAGTACAACAACGTCTTAAAAAAAATAAGATAGTTTCACGGTACCACATTCCTACTCTTCAATCTTCTCCCCACTTTTAGATCCAGCATTTGATGTTCGTTCACAAGTTCTCTTGGCAATTCAGGAGCCTTCCCCCAGTGTTGCCGCCCCAAATTAAGCCTGCAAAGGAATCTGAGTTGGGATCCTCAGTTGCAGCATGGAATGTCCAAAAGAGTCAAAAGGAGTTCCTTCCGAGACGGGTTGAGTGGCCTGGACCATACAAAAAATTTGGGCACCAACAAGGTGTGTATCAAAAAAAGGAGACCCCAAAAAGACCCCTTGGAAGAAGGAAAATCGACCCCAAAAACCATTGGTTGGACCATCACCTTCTAACAGGGAGAATGGTCCAGTTCTTTTCGCTACTGGAAACATCTGGAAACCAAATGTCCATGTCCGAGCACTGACTGCTGGTTCGTGTTTTTCAAGACGGAATTCCACCCATTGTGAGGTGAAACACATTGAGCGTTTTTGAAAAGTTTGAGTCTGAGTCATTGAAAGTCTACAGTGAAAGCAAATACTTTGATCTTTGTATTTGTTGTATGAAACAATGTCAGAAAAAATCACACGACTCTAGGTTTGAGATGGTTTGAGTGGGTTTTCGAACCCGATTCTGATGCATGACTTACTTATTGAAGGAAGCAGGATGTTTTGCGCAAGACCTTGAACATGAACATGTGTGACTGTGATTGAAACCCTTTGAGTTTTTTGGCGTAACTGTGATTGAAATCCTTCAAATTTGTTGGTTCTAACCTGCTGGCAATATGAAACGATGTTTTCCGCGAAAAGAGGGTAAAGTTGCTGATGATGGCTGATGATGAACATGGTTCATGTCTGGACTTCAATATGTGGAACCTTCGTTTTCTTTAAATAAAGTCAACATGTACAATGTACAAACTCTGTGAAGAGATGTGAAGAGTGTTTAATGACCGACCGGCATTCCTTCAGATGGACGACTGACTACTACAACTACGACGACGACTACTACTGCTACTACTACTACTGCTACTACTACTACTGCTACTACTACTACCTCCTACTACTACTATCACTAAAGCTACTAAAACTACAAAAACTACTACTACTACTACTACTACTACGACTACTACTACTACTACTACACCTACTACCTACCACCTACTACCTACTACCTACTACTACTACTACTACTGCTACCACTGCTGCTGCTGCTGATACTACTACTACTACTACTGCTACTACTACTACCTCCTCATTATTATTACTACTACTACACCTAGTACCTACTACCACCACTACTACTACTACTACTAATAACAATACTAATAATACTCGAACTTGAAAACAACACTGTGCAGTTCTGTGAGCATGGTCCTCTTTAGAAACACACAAGAAGGCCCTGTCTGTCACTTGCACCGGAGCCTTTGCTTCCAGCTCAACTTCGGGATCTCCCATGTTATTTTGATGCCGATCCCGTCTAGCACTCTGTGGCTTACGTATTGGATGGGTGCAAATGTGTATTGGACAGGTAAAGACATGTATTTGAAAGGTATTTCTGGGTAGAATAAAATTGTAACCCGGGACTTTCTTTAATAAAATTAGGCTCTGCCGGATTGACAAGCTCTAAATCTCTTGAGGGAGCAGCGGGCACCATTCCTCTGGGATTGACACACCCTTCGGCCCACGAAGGTATTTACGACATAGCTGCATGTTCCCATGTCAGTGTATGACAGGCTTTGGAAGTAGGATAATGCAACCCAATACAGCCAAAATTGCTAATTACAATCAGAAAACGTGCATTTCCAACGACTTTTGCGTATTTCTTCTGAAAGACGTGCAGTGCACAGGAACTTCTGAATAGTTATTTTTGATCATTTGAGGTTGCTGATGTGTAATATATGTTTCTAGTGAAGAAGAGGTCTCAATTTGATGGTTTTTCATGGTTTTTCCCTAAACACGTTCTTTTTAGAAATTGCATGTGCTTCACGTGCTTCAACATCTGTTCAAATTATTGATTTTGATGTTCTACTGTGAGCATTCCAATGGCATCCGCCCGTCAGTTTCATCGCTGCAGTGTTTGCTGTTCTAGTTGTTGGTGACCGAGGCATGTATGAGCCTATGACCTGATTCCTAAGGCCTCCCAAGCTGGTGATCTTTACCCAAACTCACAAGTTTTACCTTTAAAACGATTATGTACTTGCAGAACTACTCAAACAAGTTCAAATACATGCTGGACCTTGGGTCCTCTAGAAGTCAGGTCTGACCACCCCAAACTCATTCCCAAAGCAGAACTCAAACGCACCAAGCCCAATGCCACCAAGCCACTCCTTTAAGTCACCGTGGTTCAACTCTTCCTTGGGCTTCGTGAACATGCTC